ACACAGCCATGCGGCAGATGTCTGTAGGGTAGTTAATGGCCTTAATGTTGCATTGAATGTGGCTCAGTATGAATCTCCCACAGGAATTTTCACTTCTTTCTCTCTGGGCTGATTTCAGGACTTAGAAGGTCCCAAGGACACAAAGGTAAGTACAGCTGGAGCCTGGCATTGTAGGAACAGTAACATTGTGTAATGTAGTACCCAGGTCAGAGGCCAGAAGGCAGAGCTGAGCTGGATAGGGCAGGGCGGCTGCTGCACTAACTGGTGCCATGGATAGTGGAAGAAACGGGGTGGGGTGGGGGTTGACACTGAGTAGCTCTCAAGTCCTGTCTGGTGGTGACAAGGACAAAGGAAGAGCAGGTGTCAATTTTGGAAAAATTATGTCTCTCTATCCAGTGTCTGAGTAGCAAGGTTCCTCCCTGAGAGCAGAGAGATGCTTCTTATTTCCGCAGGACCCATTCTGTGGAAGGAGGAGCTCTGCCTTTGGCTTGTAATTGTCTGGGCTTGTCCTCTACCCCAGCTTTCCCAGGACTAAATGTGAAGAAGGGAGGCCTGAGTGCAACTAGAGATGCTCGGTTATTGCTGGTCTGTCCTTCACATCACTGGATGTGAATCATTGGACACCACATTGATCTTGATGTGCATACTCCATCATCCCTTTCTTCAGAGGACCAGAGCATCCCGGGTAGGCCTGGGTCTCTCTCACTTCACGGTGTGGAGAGACCCACGGGAGCTATACTTCCTTTTCAGTTCTGACCATTTCAGGCACTGGGTAGGCTGGAGGGAAATAGAAAAGGGGGCTCCAAGGAGCAGTAGCCAGGAGACAATTTTGTGTGTCTGTCTTCCCTGCACCAGTGGTGGCCTAGGGTACAAGTGTTCTCTCTCTCTCGTCTCAGTTCCTCATGACATTGTGTAGATGAGAGAATGGCCAGCCTCTGGCAGAGATCAAGAGAAGCAGCAGCCATCTTGAGCCCATCCCAGAGGATAGAAGTCAGACAGTGAGCTGTGGAGTAAGAGCAAATTGAAATTTGCTTTTCAGGAAGCTACCATACTTCAAGAAGACTCCATCACCGGCTACAACTCCTTGACAGGGCTGAATGGGCTCCCCCCAGGTCATGGTGCCCCATTTAGAGGCAAAGGCCTTTCCTCAAGACCATCCCAGACTAACATAAATTCTCTCCATAGACAACAGTCTTTGCAGCCCTGTCTCAGTAGTTAACTTGTCCAACTTGCATGCAAGCAGAGCTGCTCAGTCCTAAATTTATTCCTCCCACATCATTGGGTGATATTCCCTGGTCACAGCATTCTCATCCTCCTCTCTACTGCCTCTTGCTTGCTTCAGAGGACATGAGCATTCTGGGTAGGGCAAACCCCTGTGGGGTGAAGGCGAGGGAAAAGGACAATAGAATGCTGTGTGGGGTGATGATTTTGTGCGGGGGAGTAGCCATGACTGCTTTGGGGAGATGTAGGAAAAGTCCTTCTGGAATAGCAAGCACCAGAGACACATACCATTGAAGTTTCTGCCACGAATTTGGTCTTTGTGGGTTTTATTTTCTGCAAGGGAGAATGGATAGAGAATAATTTCAGCTCTGGCCTGAGACCAAGACGTAGGACAGCCTGTCTTTGAGACAGATGCCAGGGAATGTCAGATGAGAGCAGAGGGCTGTTACTCTCAGTAAGATCAGGGATGGTGGTGGGAGAGGTTGTGCAGTGGCTTATAAATACCCCCAAATTTGGCTAGCCCCTCCCCCATACCCACCCATGCCAGTGCAAATGTCACGGCTGCTCCAGGGGAAACACTCTGTGCATTACCATAAATGGCCACCAGGTGTCACTGCTGCCCTGTGGGAAACGCACATGAGTTATATCCACCCCAAAATATGCCTTAGCCCCCCCTTGTAGCCAGGCCTTCCAATGCAAAGTTCAAATGTTAGGCAGATACTTCTGCACTGCTGCTTGCTTTGGCACTGCCTTCAGGGATGTGCACCGTTTTCCTGAGCATGAACCCTAGTTCCAGTTCTTTCTTGCCGAGAGCAAGGAGGCAGGGAGTCGAGTGGGGGAAGGAGACTTTGTGCTGTTTCTTTTCACCTGTGTGTGCTGAAATGCCAATTTTCTGTGTGTTCTTTCTTTCCACACTTATCCTCCATGGACTCTGGTTACAACTCATATGTTTCAGAGTAGCAGCCGTGTTAGTCTGTATTTGCAAAAAGAAAAGGAGGACTTGTGGCACCTTAGAGACTAACAAATTTATTTGAACATAAGCTTTTGTAAGCTACAGCTCACTTCATCGGAATGCACCCGATGCAGTGAGCTGTGGCTCATGAAAGCTTATGCTCAAATAAATTTGTTAGTCTCTAAGGTGCCACAAGTCCTCCTTTTCTTTTAACTCATATGTGTGATGAAGCGGGGAGTTTGCATAAAATTTTGTATGAATGCTGCGTGTGCCCCTCACCAGGGTCTCTAAGCAGCGTCTCAATTCTGCCCATTAAAGCTCCTTCCCCTTTGAGTCTCTCTGTTCTGGGGCAGCTGCTTTGCTCAGGGACACTGCGCCAGCTTAGGGCAGGTGCATGGCAAGGTGGAGGTTGTAACTTTTTTGTCACAAATGTAAATAAAATTAATCTGTGACATTGGGCTTGTTTCTTAAAGTGCAGAATAACACATGGACATGCTCCACCACACTCAGTGGGCGTGTGTCATGCTGCAGTGCCCCCTGGTGACCAGGTTGGGCAGTGCATGGTGAATATCTCCCACTGGGACAGTGACCCTTGCTGGCCAGGTGGGATAGTGCCCTTTGTATATCTCCATGTGGTGTCCAGGTGTGGGAGTGTCCTATGTGCATCCCCACCGCCCCCACTGCAGGGCATAGATCAGCATGCATGTCACACACCCCGTGAATGCCCAGCCCAGGCCAGGGAATCTAATGATCCAACCGCCGGACCAAATTCGGTGATGAATCCTGGTCACATGCCACTTGCGGCAGGTTGCGCATATGCTAAGAACCACAACCACTGTGACCCCTGCTGGCCAGGCAAGGGAGTGCCCTGGAGGTGCCTCCCTGTTGGAGCAGTGACCCCTGGTGGCCAGATGGGGCAATACCCTGTATGTATTACCCCCACCCACACCCCATCATTTCTGCAGCGACTCCTGGTAGCCACTGAGGGCAATTACTTGTGTGACCCACCCCCACCATAGTGGCAGTGAGCCCTGGTGGCCAGGTCAGGCAGTACCCTGGGTCTATTCCAACCCCATTGTGGCAGTGACCCTTGTTCCCAGTGCATATCACTGCTCTGCAACGGGGACTTGTCCACTGGTGCCAGAATGGGGCAGTACCCTGTGTACATGTCCCCAAATGAGGCAGTGACCATTGCTGGCCAGCTGGGGCAGGGCACTGCGTGTTTCTCCCCCATTTGGACAGTGACCCGGGGGCGGCTAAGTGAGGCAGTGCCCTCTGGTTATTCCCCCCCCCACACACACACACAGATTGTGACCTCTGCTGGCTAGCTGGGGCACTGCCCTCTGGGTATCTCCATCAATTGGAGGACAGCCCTTCCCCCAAGTGGCATCGCGTGGCAGAGCCCTAAATGTATCTGCCCACACCTTTGTGGCAGTGCCCCCTGGTGGCCAGGAACGGCAGAGTCCTGCAGGTATTCCCACCCCACCATTGCCGTAGTGACCCCTGGTAGATAAGACAGTGCATGCTGTGTGACCTTTGGTGGCCAGGTAGGGCAGTGGCCTGTGTGAATTGCCTCCCCCCGACAACCATTGCGGCAGTGCCCCCTGGTGGCTAGGCCAGGCAGTGCCCTGTGTGTACCACCCCCAGCGGAGCAGTGACCACTGGAGGCCTTGTGCTAAGAGGCACCACCTCTGGGTTAGGCACTAGGGCTGGTCATTCGGGTGTGGATGGGCCCACGCTGTCCCCAGAAGCTCTGGAATGGCTGCTGTTCTGGGCAGAGGACTCCACCTTGTATTTAGCTGCGATGCTCTGAGCACCTTTCCCCGCCCTGCCTGGCTCAAAAGCTTGTCTCTCGCCCCAAGAGAAGTTGGTTCAATAACAGGTATTACCTCCCCGCCCCGTCTCTCGGCATTCTGGGACCATGTGAGTGGCCACCTTCACCGCCTGGTTGCTCCCCAGCCCCCTTGCACCTGCCAACCCTCCCATCTTCTCCTGACCCCAACCTCCCAGGGCACCCCACCTGCAAACCCTAGGGAACCTGGGGGCGGGGGGCTCCGGGCCGGGGAGGGGCCATAAGCTCAGTAACTGGGTGAGGCTGCCCCTGCAATAAGAAGCAGTGGCGGGGGAGGGGGCGGGGAGAGGGGAGTGAGGCAATGCCTCATGGGAGATGTAGTGTCTCCCCTGCCTCCATCTCCCATCAGCCACTGCGGGCCCCGTAGCACCATGGGAGATGTAGTGTCTCCCTTGCCTCCATCTCCCATCAGCCACTGCGGGCCCCGTAGCACCATGGGAGATGTAGTGTCTCCCCTGCCTCCAACTCCCATCAGCCACTGCGGGCCCCGTAGCACCATGGGAGATGTAGTGTCTCCCCTGCCTCCAACTCCCATCAGCAGCTGCCCGGCCCGCCCCGCCTTCCCATTTCTAGAGCGAGGCACCGGTGGTGCGAGGCCGAACGCGGAAGCTGCCGTGACGCTGGGAAGGCCCCCCCCCCCGCGGGCCGCTCTGCACCAGCCCCAGGGCGCCGCGCGGGTGCAGGCTCCAGCTGGCTGCACTGCAGCCGGGACCCCCACACCGCTGCCCCTCCTCAGTGCCCCTAGTCTCAATGCCGCCAGCCCCGCCCTTCTCCCCTAGCTCCCCATCTCCCCTCTATGGAAGCGGGGCAACCTCCGCCCACTGTTCCCGTTGGGAATCCCTTGGGGGGGACTGAGAGGTGTCACTTCCGGTACCCGGGCACAGTGGGACTCTAATATTGGCGCACCGGGGCAACATAGCTTCCGGTCCCAGTTGCAGGTTGGACTCTAATAGCGAGAGCACTGGGGCAACGTCACCTCCAGCCCCACGCCCCGCTGCGAGCTGCGTTTGCCGCTCTTGTGGGGTCGGCGTCGTCCAGGCGGGGCCCGAGGGTCGCCCTAGACCCCCCCCCCCAGCTGCGGCCCGGCCCCGTGTGGCTGTACTGCCCGTTCCCCAGGGGCTGGCCTGCTCGGGTGCACCAGGGTTTGCACCAGCCCGGCCAGGCCCTCTGGGGGCCCGGGCACGTAAAGGCCACGCGGCGGCCCTCCGAGCCAGAGCCCCGGGGAATCTCCCACCACAAAGTCGGCGGCACAAACCAGCGTCCGGGCGCTTGTGTTAGGGGTTGGGGCTCCTAAGGGCACCACGACAAGCAGCCATCAAAGGCGGGCGGGGGATTGGGGTCCAGTGTCGGCACCATCAGGATGCCTGGCTGCTCTGCGGGGCTTTGCCTTCACCGGCTCAAAGGCAGGAGTGTGTTGTCATCCCCGGGTGGTTACACACTGGGAAACAGAGAACTCTTTCTAACAGCCCTTTACTAGCGGGGGGGCGTGTGTGTGTGATGCAGGCTTTACGGAGTAGGAAGCTACTTCGCTGCCTCACCCTGTTTGCTTTTCTTTTTCGAGAGCCTTCTCCCTAGGGCAAAGCATAGAGGTGCTCCATAAGGACAGAAAAGCCCTTGTTTCATAGTAAATCTGAAAATATGTGGCCAATAATCCTCCTTATGTGGAATCATATGGAAACTGACCCTGGGGAAGGGAACTCAGGTGGGAGCCTAACTAGCTAAGTGGGCCTCAGGCAGGGCACATGCCTGAGAAGCTGTAGCGAGGAAGTAGCTGCAGGAGTGTGCTGTAAGGAGCAAAACTGGCTCTTGCAGGGAGGGAAGGAAGAGAAGCCCTCTTTGAGGAGAGCTGGGGCTCCAGATACCAGGACAGAGACTGAACTGAAGCCAGCTCCGGGAAGGAGGGCTGGGGACTCTTGACTCAAGGGAAGAGGAGTGTGTTTCAGTTCTGCAGGAAAGGCATGCAGTCAGGGCTGAAGGTCTGTGCTCAGCTTGGTACTGAGGTGGAGAAGTTGCAGGATTTATTAAAATGGACCCCAGAAGGGGAATGCTTTTATTATTTATCTAATTTGTGAGGACTTGTAAAGGGCCCTGAGCAAAAAAGGAAAACTGAGGCAGTGCTGTGCAGATTTACCCCAGGTCACAAGAGGGTGCTTTGGAGGCCAATAACCCTGCTACAGCCTGGGTTTCTAGGAAATGGTTCCTGATCAGCTGAGGTGCAGGTGGAGATAACTTCCCAATGGAGACAGATAGTAGTAATGTGTCTTCCCCAGCAGAGGTCTGGATCCAGGAAAGTATCCACCAGCTCTGAGTTAATTTCCTATTTCCCCCCACCGTCTCTTCTCTGTTGTGTTGGTCAACACACACTCTCCCTGTCTGCCCTTGTCCTGTCTCCCTTCATAGGACGTGGGCAGGTGTGCATCCCGACAGGCTTAAGAACATAAGAATGGCCATACTGGGTCAGACCAAAGGTCCATCTAGCCCAGTATCCTGTCTTCCAACAGTGGCCAATGCCAGGTGCCCCAGAGGGAATGAACACAACAGGTAATCATCAAGGTAATTATGGAGACTTGGTGGGATAATATGCATGACTGCAATATTGGTATAGAAGGATACTGCTTGCTTAGGAAGAACAGGCAGGGAAAAAAGGGAGGAGGTGTTGCCTTATATATTAAAAATGTATACACTTGGAGTGAGGTTGAGATAGAAATAAGAGAGACTTGTTGAAAGTCTCTGGGTAAGGATAAAAGGGGTAAAAAACAAGGGTGATGTCATGGTAGTGGTCTACTACAGACCACCAAACCAGGAAGAAGGGGTGAACGAGGCTTTTTTTAAACAACAAAATCATCCAAAGCACAGGACTTGGTGGTGATGGGGGACTTCAACTACCCAGACATCTGTTGGGAAAATAACACAGCAGGGCACAGATTATCCAACAAGTTCTTGGAATGTATTGGAGACATTTTTTTTATTTCAGAAGATGGAGAAAGCTACTAGGGGGAGGCTGTTTTAGATTTGATTTTGACAAATAGGGAGGAACTGGTTGAGAATTTGAAAGTGGAAGGCAACTTGGGTGAAAGTGATCATGAAATGGTAGGCGTTCATGATTCTAAGGAATGGTAGGAGGGAGAACAACACAAGAAAGACAATGGATTTCAAGAAGGCAGACATTAGCAAACTCAGGGAGTTGGTAGGTAAAATCCCATGGGAAGCAAGTCTAAGGGGAAAAACAATTGAAGACAGTTGGCAGTTTTTCAAAGAGACATTATTAAGGGCACAAAAGCAAATTATCCCACTGTGTAGGAAAGATAGGAAGTATGGCAAGAGACGACCCTGGCTTAGCCAGGAGAACTTCAATGATCTAAAACTCAAAAAAGAGTCCCACAAAAAGTGGAAACTCGGTCAAATTAAAAAGGATGAATATAAACAAATAACATAAATATGTAGGGACAAAATTAGAAAAGTCAGGGCACAAAATGAGATCAAACTAATGAGGGACATAAAAGGAAACAAGAAAACATTCTACCAATACATTAGAAGACAGAGGAATCATAGAATCATAGAATATCAGGGTTGGAAGGGACCCCAGAAGGTCATCTAGTCCAACCCCCTGCTCAAAGCAGGACCAATTCCCAGTTAAATCATCCCAGCCAGGGCTTTGTCAAGCCTGACCTTAAAAACCTCTAAGGAAGGAGATTCTACCACCTCCCTAGGTAACGCATTCCAGTGTTTCACCATCCTCTTAGTGAAAAAGTTTTTCCTAATATCCAATCTAAACCTCCCCCAAAGACCAAGGACAGAGTAGGCCTGTTAATGAGGGGGGAAAGACCATAACAGAAAATGTGGAAATGGCAGAGATGCTTAATGACTTCAGTTTTCACCAAGAAGGTTGGTGGTGATTGGACGTATAACATATTGAATGCCAGTGAAAATGAGGTAGGATCAGAGTCTAAAATAGGGAAAGAACAAGTCAAAAATTACTTAGACAAATTAGATGTCTTCAAATCACCAGGGCCTGATGAAATGCATCCTAGAATACTCAAGGAGCTGACTGAGGAGATGTCAGAGCCATTAGCAATTATCTTTGAAAAGTCATGGAACACGGGAGACGTTTCAGAAGACTGGAAAAGGGCAAATATAGTGCCCATCTATAAAAAGGGAAATAAGGACAACCCGAAGAATTAAAGACCAGTCAGCTTAGCTTCTGTACCCGGAAAGAAAATGGAGCAAATAATTAATCAATTTACAAACATCTAGAAGATGATAAGGTGAAAAATAAGTCAGCATAAACTTGTCAAGAACAAATTGTGTCAAACCAGCTTTCTCTGACAAGGTAAGAAGCCTTGTGGATGGGGGGGAAGTGGTAGATGTGGTATATCTTGACTTTAGTAAGGCTTTTGATACTGTCTCGCATGACCTTCTCAAAAACAAACTTGGGAAATACAACCTAGATGAAGCTACTATAAGGTGGGTGCATAACTGGTTGGAAAATTGATTCCAGAGAGTAGTCATCTGTGGTTCACGGTCATGTGGGATGGGCATAATGAGTGGGGTCCTACAGGGATCGTTTCTGGTTCTGTTCAATATCTTCATCAATGATTTAGATAATGGCATAGAGAGCACACTCATAAAGTTTGCAACTGATGCCAAGCTAGGAGGGGTTGCAAGTTCATTGGAGGATAGGATTAAAATTCAAAATGATCTGGACAAACTGGAGAAATGGTCTCAAGTAAACAGGATGAAATTCAATAAGGACGAATGCAAAGTACTCCACTTAGGAAGGAACCATCAGTTGCACACATACAAAATGGGAAATGACTGCCAAGGAATGAGTACTGCAGAAAGGGATCTGGGGGTCAAAGTGGATCACAAGCTAAATATGAGTCTACAGTGTAATGCTGTTGCAAAAAAAGCAAACATCATTCTGGGATATATTAGCAGGAGTATTGTAGGCAAGACACAAGAAGTAATTCTTCCTCTCTACTCCGCGCTGATTAGGCTTCAGCTGGAGTATTGTGTCCAGTTTTGAGCGCCACATTTCAGGACAGATGTGGACAAATTGGAGAAAATCCAGAGAAGAGCAACAAAAATGATTAAAGGTCTAGAAAACATGACCTATGAGGGAAGACCTGAAAAAAATGGGTTTGTTTATTGTGGAGAAGAGAAGACTGAGAGGGAACATGAGAACAGTTTTCAAGTACATAAAAGGTTGTTACAAGGGGGAGGGAGAAAAATTGTTGTTCTTAACCTCTGAGGATAGGACAAGAAGCAATGGGCTTAAATTGCAGCAAGGGTGGTTTAGGTTGGATATTAGGAAAAACTTCCTAACTGTCAGAGTGGTTAAGCACTGGAATAAATTGCCTCGGGAGGTTGTAGAATCTCCATCACTAGGGATTTTTAAGAGCAAGATGGATAAACACCTGTCAGGGATGGTCTAGATAATACTTAATCCTGCCTTGAGTGCAGGGGACTGGACTAGATGACTTTTTGAGGTCCCTTCCAGTTCTGTGATTCTATGAAGTGATCCATTCCCTGTCGCTCATTCCCAGCTTCTGGCAAACAGAGGCTACGGACACCATCCCTGCCCATTCTGGCTAATAGCCATTGATGGACCTATCCTCCATGAATTTATCTAGTTATTTTTTGAACTCTGTTATAGTTTTGGCCTTCATGACATCCTCTGGTAAAGAGTTCCGCAGGTTGACTGTGCGTTGTATGAAGAAATACTTCCTTTTGCTTGTTTTAAACCTGCTGCCTATTAATTTCATTTGGTAACCCCTAGTTCTTGTGTTATGAGAAGGAGTAAATAATCCTTCTTATTTACTTTCTCCACGCACGTCATTATTTTATAGACCTCAATCATATTCCCCCTTAGTTGTCTCTTTTCCAAACTGAAAAGTTAATTTCTCCTCATACGGAAACCATTACATACCCCTAATCCTTTTGTTGCCCTTTTCTGAACCTTTTCCAATTCCAATATATCTTTTTTTGAGATGGAGTGACCCCATCTGCACACAGTATTCAAGATGTGGGCATACCATGGAGTTATATAGAGGCAATATGATATTTTCTGTCTTATTATCTATCCCTTTCTTAATGATGCCTAACATTTTGTTCACTTTTTTGATTGCCGCTGCACATTGAGTGGATGTTTTCAGAGAACTCTCCACAATGACTCCAAGATCTCTTTCTTGAGTGGTAAGAGCTAATTTAGACCCCATCTTTTTATATGTATAGTTGGGGTTATGTTTTCCAATGTGCATTACTTTGCATTTATCAACATTGAATTTCATCGGCCATTTTGTTGTCCAGTCACCTAGATTTGTGAGATCCTTTTGTAGCTTTTCACAGTCTGCCTGGGACTTAACTATCTTGAGTAGTTCTGTATCATCTGCTAATTTTGCTTGGTCTTAGGAGCTTGCAATATGGGAGGATGGGGAGGGGTGGAAGAGAATCATGCTGGGTCCTGGGAGTCAGAGTGCTGGGGGGAAGGTGGTGTGAGTACCAGCCAGCACAGCAGCTGCCCCGCACTGTCCAGCTCCAGCTTCCGGCTTCCGACCTGGACAGGGGGTGGGGGGAAGGAGGCGGTGCTGGCACTAAACTGAGGAGCAGGGACCAGGGCCATGGAGACAGGTGGGGGGAGGCAGGGGGCAGGCACAGCCCCCACAACTCTAGTCCACTTCAGCCCACCCCCTGCACTAGGGAGGGGCTGGCACTGCCCCTGCTGGCCACTGGGTGTCACTGCTCTTCTATAGGAAACCCACTCTATGTATTACCTTGACTGGCCAGCAGGCGGGGCAATGCTTGTGGGGCCCAGGGGCACAGCAATGAAGGGGCCATGGCTCCATCATTTTTAAAAGGGAGAGCTCTGCTGTTTCCATGGATGCCTCTCATGTCACCTTGGCTCTGCTGCAGGCCTAGGTAAGGAATGGGTTTGGGTTGCTGGTTAAAGACTTCCCCTTACTCCCATCCCGTACCCAGCCTGCAGGAGGGAAGGGCTGGCATGAGAGCCGTGTAAACAATCATCATGTCAAAACTGTGGTGTTTTGAACAGCGGGCCCTGATGCAGCGTGGGATTTGTAGTCTTCTCTTACCTTTGTTTTCAGAATGTGGTGCCCTGCGCAGTACCTGGTGCAGCTGGAGGTGTGATCAGTGATTTATCTATATGCTGCTTTTAGGTATTCTTAGGCAACCTGTAGCTCACGCTCGGAGAGTGAATTACGTGACTGAACATTTGGAGGAAAGCAGTCACCCCTTCAGCTTCTCGGGGCAGGGATGGGTGGGTTCCCACTCCAGGCACCAGTATACATGTGCTAGTTTACTCAGCTGACCCCCAGTGGGAGTGGAAGTGGTGGATAATGGAAAGACATCCGGGGTGGAAAGATTCTGGGACAGAGAGACCCCTTGTCACACCCTGTGTGGTGCAACCCCATCAAGTGATGAAGGACTGTGACCTGGGCTAAAGTCCCAGGTGTGGAGCTATTTGCCCTAGTGATGGCTCAGGTCCCTGTGCAGACCCAGGAGGGATTGGGTGTGGGGGTAGTTGGGGTTCTCCAGGATATCATTCTGGGGAATGACTATCACTGAGACAAAATTCAGTCCCAGTTTCTGTACCAGCTGAGGATTCGAACCAAGCAAGCCAGAAGGCTCAGAAAGGAGGTGGGGATGACAATGCAAATAGCTTGGTTGGCAGGGAGAAGGAGGGTTTTTTTCCCCCTTGCTTTCAGCACACAAGAAAGGCTGTTAAGCTCAGGACACACAGCCTACTCTTACTGGGGAAGTAGAGGCAGAGCTGATCATGGTGGTAGCTGAAACCCCAGCTGAGCATGGAGAGACAAGGGAAGGGAAGGATGACCGCCAGACATGTTTGCCCTCTCCAGGAGTGGGAGAAGCCCCAGAGAAGGTAAAGCAGCTGGAAGGTCACTGCTGGTAACAAAGACGCTGAGTTGGAGTGTGGCCATGGCCATGGTAGGTTCTCTTAACCAAGAGAAACTGAACCACAGCCCTCCAGGCAGGGGGTGGAGGAAGGGAAGCTGAGAGAGGACTGTCCTGGGGGTGAGGGCAACAGGTTAACTCCAAGAGGGGAAATGGGCTCCCTGCATATGCACAGCCCTGGAGTTGGGACATGACTCCAGAGGGGGCCAGTCAATGTGCAGGACCACCCTGCACACCTGCCTCACCAGAACCCCAGACATATGGCTGGGTTAAGACCAAATGCTTAAGGGGTCACTTTCTACACCAGCCTAGAGGTCAGGGCACCCCAGGCTGCAGCCAAGATGGCTGACACATGGAAGAATGTGGGGTCACTGCCCTCCTTACTCCCTGGCAGATGGGGAGGAGGGAGTGGCAGTCCAGCTCCAAACCCAAAGATTTTGGGGTGGCAAAAGGGGATGGGGCCCAATGAAAACTCCCCATGTACACCCTGCTAGTGTCATCGACCAGACCAGACCTAAGGGAGGACATGACACTGTGCTGAATTGTGTCTTGAAAACCGTGACCTTGATTGATTAGCAACTAAGCTATAAGAATCTTGGAAGTTCCTGGTAGGACACCTACCAAGGAGGCTGGAAAGATGCTGACATCTATGGATAACATTTGGGATTCAGAGTTCCCCAGGTCCTTGGTTAATGTGACTCTGCTCAGTTCAGTCTCAAAGGGGGAAGAGCTATGATGAAGTGGGGATTTTTTGGTAATAATTTTATGAATTCTGTGTGTGCCTCAGTTTACCCCATATGCTGCATTGTTACCGAGTGAAAAATGAAAAATGACTTTTTGCTCTCAAGGCAGGCTAAGAGACACAAATGTGGATGTCACCTAGCTTTCTCCCCATACCAATGGAGCAGTTGAGAAGAAGATGGCAAACCGAATTGCTCAGGCATTGACACCTAGCAACAAATGACCCAGAGGGAGAAGCTGTCCTGGAGTCATTCAGCCTGGGACCGGGGCTTGATCTCTGCCTTTCGAGACTGTCCTGCCCAATTCGGAACAGGCGGTCACTCTGTTGTCAATGCTCTGAATGTCACTGCAAATGCTTGGTGAGGTGCCTTAATCCCTGAAGTGTGGACAAGTCCATATCAGGAGTCTCTCAGCTGGATTCGCTGAACGCTGCTCCTGGTGTGAAGCAGGAGTGCTGAAGGCCCAGAGGTCCAGTCACAGCAGGCAGTGAAGCTGTGTGATGACCCTGGAGGAAGGAGTGAGACCTCTGGGGAGGGGTCTGGCACATCAAAGGGCTTCCTGAGAGACTGTTCCAAAGCCAGAGTGTAGCACCAATCGTATGGATCCATGGCAGTAGGAGAGGTGACATCAGGGCAGATCTGTGCAGTGACCCTTGCTTGCTGCAACAGGAGGCGATCTGAGGGGTCTGTCCAGGTAACCCCAGCCCTGGGCTCTCTGCCATGGCTTAGCTGGCCCCTTTGGCTCCTCTTCCTCCCAAGGAGACACTGAGATGGGTTTCTGCCATTACCCTCCCCCTCCCCCCCCCACCGCCACACACACACTTTTGAGACCCTGCAGGTAGGGCTGGAAGCCTGGGGTCCCTTGTGTATTGGGGGGTGGGATGGGGAAGAGCAGAGAGACGCTAGAAGGACCCTGAGCTCTGAGCCTGGATTTCCAGTTATTGTTTTACAAGGTGGGTGAGGTAATATCTTTTATTGGCCCAGCTTCTTTTGGTGCGAGAGACCAGCCCAGACCAGCTATCCCACTTGGCACTGAGCCAATCAGGCTCTTTCTGTGCAAATACTGTCTCTGGGTACTGTGGGTACTGGCCACACCTTGTTTGCTTTATGCAGCATCCTTCATTTGTGTACTCACATGCCAACGCAGGTGGATGGGGCAGCGGCAGGCTGCATGGAGCTGGAACCTCACCGCCCTGTAGCTACCAGTTCTCCCTGCGTCCTCCAGCCTCCAGCAGCAGTTCGCATGGAATGTTTGGATCAGAGGCGGACAGCCCTGGTGTGAACATGAGTGGGGGAGCCTCCGTGGGGGAGCCCAGTCTCCTGGGCAGGCTGGCTGAGTTGTGGGACACTGCTGCATTCTGACACCTCCCCTGGCGGAAAACATGGAAAACCAGTTCTGTTATTTACTATTAGCCTTTCTTAGCATGAAATACCAACCAAAATACACCTGCAAAGAGCTCCGGGTGCCTGACCAATTCGTTAGGGTTCCAACAGGAGGGATAGCTCAGTGGTTTGAGCATTGGCCTGCTAAACCCAGGGTTGTGAGTTCAATCCTTGAGGGGGCCATTTAGGGATCTGGGGCAAAAATTGGGGACTGGTGCTGCTTTGAGCAGGGGATTGGACTAGATGACCTCCTGAGATCCCTTCCAACCCTGATATTCTATGAACAGCTAATGGTGCCCACCCAGCAGGAAAGCATCATCCCACACGCAATGAATGAACTCAGGCAATAAATCAAAGCTGCAAAACAGCCCTGCTAGCCACCCAGGAACAACCCTCAACCCTCCCCCATAACTCTATCAAATAAAGAAAGACCCATTAGGCTCTGGTGAAGGGGCTGGTCCCTTCTCCTGTACCGGGGAGCCAGACAGGGCCTTTCTGATTAGAAACCAGGACAAAGAGCTCTGGAGGTAGGTGGATATTGGTTGGGTTAGAGCACATGCAGTGGGAGCATGCCAACTGCTGCACCACTTCGTAGGGTTGCCTGCCCTGCTCTAGTCCTGCTGGCACAGGGTCGGGGGGACTTTATCTAGGCCATGCAAGCAGGGAGGGAAAGTCTCTCTAAACTCACACTACCCACCTGCGTGAAGGCCAGGCAGAATATGGCTCTTGTTGTTTGTTCCCCACTGTGGAAGGAGAATGTGGCCTGTGTCTCAGAGAGTTTGTTTTATTTTGCACCAGAAAACTTGTGAATTACCTGCAACCATAGGGAGGCCTTTCCTAACTTGGCCAAGGACTACTGCTGAGGTCTGATTAGTTCTGCACCCCTCTGGCACACTGCTTCGGTCTGAAAAGTGTAGTGCTTGTAGGGGCAGACAGCCTTGGGGGGAGGGGTGTGTGTGTGTGTGTGTACGACAGAAATACAACTGATTGTTGTGACTGTGACTCTGAGCAAGCAGGGAAAAGCCTTAAAAACTAAAACTGTCACTGCCCTAGGACTGTGTGTGTGTTTTCACTTTCACTTTCAGTTGAGAGCTGCTGGGTGCATGGAGAATGTTTCAGTTCCCATAAAATTGCTGTACTTTATCCAGCAATAGTTGTCTGAACAGACTGGAGTCAGACATGCCCGGGGGCAATGCAGCTATAGCTGGAAGCCCATCCCTGTAAGATCCAGCAGGCAGGTGAGTGTCAGCCCTCAATTGCTGTGGGTGATGGCTCTGTTATTCTTCGTAGAAGCTGTTCCTATGGGCGGCAGTCCATCTGGGGCTCTCAGTTACCTACTTTCAGTATTGCTGCAGAAATGTTTAAAATGCTCAGAGACCTTTGGGGCCCTTTTCCATTACCCTGTAACACAGACTGAAATAGTGTTTGTTTATTCGCTCTTCTGCATGATTTCCTGGAATTAGAGACTGCAGAGGAGTGTGTGCTTTCTCCTTCTCTGGTGACTGTGTGTATTTGCCATCAGCTCACTCCACTGAAGTTCTGCTTTAAGAGACTAGAAGAAGGGAAATGCCGTAGGCCAGATTCAATAAGGCTGGTGCAGGGAGGGGTCAATTCCAGCACGTTGGGCCCAGGGCTGGATTAACTTTTTGTGGGCCCGGCACCAAACATATTTGTGGGCCCCCACTGAGGAATAGGGCATGTGATGGGGGACGGTCTGCAGAGCGAGGGGCCAGTTGGGGGCAATGAGGCGCAGTGAGAGTGGCCCCACTCAGTCCAGCACGAGGGCACTGTTTACAAATTCACAACTGTTAGACACACACTGGCCCACCCAGCCCTGCGCTGCCAGTGTGCCCCTTCCACACTGAACCCCTGCCCAGTGCCCTGCCCTTATACCCAGCACCCCCTCACCCAGAGACTTCCCCCACAGATCCCAATGCCCCCGGACCTCCTATGCCCAGCACCTCCTGCCCAGAGACTCCTCCTGCTGACATCCCACCACAACTGCACAGCACCCTACATGCCATACCCCCTGCCCAGCTCCCCCACCTACAGATTCCCTACTGTCCAGCACCCCCTTCACATTCCCAGCATCACAGCTGTACAGTGCCCCTTATTCCTGAGGGAATTCTACATCAAATTCTGTGCATAATATTTCAAAATTCTGCATTTTTTTTTTTTTACAATAAATAAATGTGGAAGCTCCACCATGGCAGTGGGGAACACAGACCACTGGCTGCATGGAGTTGGGAGAATACCCCGCAGCCTCCCCCAGGACAGGGACTTGGCAGTGAGGCTGAACCTGACCCTGACCCAGCACAAGGGCCACGCCTGCCACAGAAACACCCTGGGGCCCTGCCCCTTTTGCGCTAGGCACACCAGATGTGGGCAGGGAGGCTCAGCCTGGCAGCAGGATCCAAGTGCAGAGGGACTTTAGTGTGGGGGGATCCAGATGGGGGTAAGAGGGTTCTGTGTGGGGCAGTCTGAGTGCAGGCAGCTCAGTGGATCTGGATGCACAGGGAGGTTCCAGGTGCAGGAGCAATGGGAGTCTGCAGGGGGGGCCAAGTGAAAGTGGTTGGAGCTCAGCAGGGTGTGTGTGTGTGTGTCTGGGTGCAGGGAAGGTGGGGGTCCAGGTGTAGGTGGTTGGGGCTCAGTGGGGAGGGTGTCTGGGGGGGTTCATCGGGGTGGTACAGATGCAGGGGAGGTGGGGCTTGTCAGGGTAAGGGTTTAATGGGCCTGCTTAACAGGGGAGCCCCAGCTGCTGCCAAGGGGCTCCGCATGCTGGGCCCCCGCTTCCCTCATCCCTTTCTCTTCCCCATCCCATGCCCCTTCCCCACCACTCCATCTCATTCCCATCTGACCCCTGCCTCTTCCCCCTGCCCCCGCTTCCCCTATCTCCTTCTCTTCCCCATCCCATGCCCCTTCACCACTGTGACATCTCCTCTCCACCCCACCCCCTTTGTCCCCACTGCCTCTTTTCCCCACACCCCCGCTTCCCCCATCCCCTCCTCTCTTCTCCCATGCCCCTTCCCCACTGCCCCATCTCCTCTCCACCCCACCCCCTTCATCCCCACTACCTCTTCTCCATCCCATGCCCCTTTCCCACCACTCCATCTCATTCCCATCCGACCTCTGCCTCTTCCCCTTGCCCCCGCTTCCCCTATTCCCTTCTCTTCCCCATCCCATGCCCCATCTCCTCTCCGCCCCATCCCTGTTTTAGGGAGCAGCCAGCTTTGTCTGTCTCTCTAAGTGTTGCGTTCTTGTGTGTTCTGAATTCCTAGAAGAAAAATTATTGCTATTTAACTTCTCTCTGTGTATGCTGTGAACACAACAAGTGCCACCGTAACCTGGATTCCTGGTAAACCCTCTGCCATTGGAAACCCTGACCAGGGTAGCGGCTGGCAGAAATCAGCATGGGCCTTGGAGGAGAGCTGGAGACATAGGCAGCAGCCTCTCCAGAGTTAAGTCTGCAGCAAAGTTTTTGTTTAAAGACAGCTTTTGCATCTTCTCTAAATTCCAAAAGATAAGTCAGCTCTGCCGAAGGTCGGGGTGAGATTGTGTTTGTGGGGAAATCTGGAGTTATTTGGACAAGGCATTGCAGAGCTGGAGCACCTGACAAATGAGTTGATTTCAACACCCACTAGCCTTCAAATGCTTTTTTACTCACATCATAGGAATAAAAGGAGTCCCCTCCTGTGACTCCCCTGATCTGCAAGGGAGGGACAGCCTGATCCCTGTGGTAGGGGCTCAGTAACTCAAGCTAGGACCAATGGGCTCTGAGCTTGTTGCATGCGGTGTCTCCGTCTAGACCCCTGCTTGCTGCAACAGGAGGCGATCTGAGGGGTCTATCCAGGTAACCCCAGCCCTGGGCTCTCTGCCAGGGCCTAGCTGGCCCCTTTGGCTCCTTTTCCTCCCAAGGAGCCACTGAGATGGGTTTCTGCCGTTAACACCCCCCCCCCCACGCACACACTTGAGACCCTGAACATGACACTCTTCAACTGAGGGTTTACAATAAAATTTTAGGTAAAGCACTGAGGGAAATGTCACTCCAGATACGCTATATTTCCATGTGTGTTTCAATAAAAAATAATGTTTGAAAAGACAAAAGCCATGTGGCAGCATGAAGGATTGAGTAACTGCATGAAGGAGAGAAACTATGCGGTAATGAAGCAGTATGTTTCCCCACACTCCTTCCTGCTTTTTAAAAACCAGAACGTGGTGAATCCATCTAGTGTCTGGATGCATGTTGGCCAATATTGTCTCATGTTTTCTTGGGGTTCCCCCTTGGTTTGTCTGGCAAGTGTGCTACACGCTGAAGGAGAGGAGACACATAAATCATGCCACTGGACTCCCTCTGCTGAGATCTACTGTGTCGGTGTGAGGGAATGCACCCTGTGTTCACATCCTACACACCATTGTAATAATCTTAGTACAAAATATGCCTTGTGAGGTATCTTCTGAAAAAATCTCACTGGTCAGTAATATCCTGGTGAAATGTTTGTAGCAACATTACATGTAAAGTTATGACATCCCCCTGTATTATGTTATTAGCACGTTCAAAACCACAGAGACCTGCCTAGGCAAAAGTTGTTAAAGAGGTCCATCTTAAACAAAGGAATGTGTGGTTATCTCCATTTACAAAGTAGTGTTGCATGTCTGAGTTAGTGACTCAAGATTGTTGAATATCAGGCTCAATTGGAATTATTTAATCTAAGATTATCAACCAGAGATTAGTACAGCACTATACAGAATACAGAAAGCAATAGATACATTGCCACCCTTTGTTTGCAGACCAAGAGCTGGATCTGTGTCTCCGCTTCACTGTATTCGGAAGGAGGCTCAGTTTTCTTTACCCAACTAAGACCCCATGCCATTTTTCATGGTGTGCACAGGGTCAGTGCTCTGGAACTGCTCTCAGTGAAGTTCAAACAGGACCCTCTTGTACATAGGCACTGACTCCATGGGTGCTCCAGGGCTGTGATTGGTAAAACATTAAAACAAGTTTATTAACTACAATGAAATAGATTTTAAGTGAGTACAAGTAATGAGGCATTAAAGTCAGAAATGGTTACAAGAAAAATAAAGACAGAAAACTGACTAACGTCTAGTTTAACAAACTATATTAGATTCAAGCCAAGTTTTTCACCTATGCTGTCAGCAGTCTTATAGACCAAATTCTTTAAGTCAGGACCCCTTCCCTATAGTCCAACAGTTGCTTCCTATGTCTTTTCAGGTGGAGAAAATGTGATTGGCAGGGAGAGAGAGAGAGAGAGAGAGGAGGGACCCTAGAGTTGTCTACCCCTCCTTTTTATAATCCCGTCCGCCCTTTGAGAAGCATTTCCAGCTGGGAGCAAGGTAACAGGCAGTCTGTGTGGATGGAAACTCCATGCTTTTTCTTTGCCAGGATGTAGATTTTTGTCTCTCCCCCTTCCGTGCCAAAGAGTGGCCACTTAGCAGGTATTGGTCCATCATCCTTGTTTTCACCTGGCTGAGGTGTCAGCTTGCCCTTTGTCTCTGAGGAAGTAGTTTGGCCACTCCCCAGATTTACCTAGAAAACATATTTTTAGTTATGATTTTAGTTTATGTTGATAATTTAACATAAAACACTCCTACACACATTTTGTCATGATATGATTGATCAGCAAACGATAAGTTTTTAAATGACACCTCAGAAGGCATACCTTGTACAAACATTATTGCAATGGTGTGTCGGGTGTGCACGTGGGGTTGTTTTCTGTCAGTACCTTAGCATTAACTATTTCACCCATTTTAGCCACTGGGATAGGGAAGGGGGTGGGTGGGAAGTCCTGAAGGTGAAGTGGTGGTAGCGGAAGGGAAGGAATGCTGAGGGAAGACAGGAGGAGACCCGCAAAGTAAGGGAAGAAATAGAGAAAAAGGAAGATAGGACAGAGAGAATAGTGGTGAGCATTTTCCCCACTGAGTGATGGTGAGCGTGATAACAAAGATCTTGAAGAAGTAACACACTGATGATAATGAACAGTGAATTTACTCTATAAAGGCTGCATTCTGCTCTCAGTCTACCATTGGGGTTGATGGGGGCACCACTTTGGAATGAGGAGAGTGGTGAGCCCTAAATGGATGCCCTGGCACAGAGATCATAATAAAAATGGAATTTGGCCCCATGCACAGAATGAGTTTAACACCCTGAGGCTAGAGAGAGGTGTAGTGGGCTGGGAGCCAGGAGATCATGTGGTTTAGTCTCACCTCTAGTGTTAACGTTCCTCTGCACTTCACAATCTTTGGGCTTGTCTTCACTACCAGGGTAAGTTGACCTAAGTTACACTACTCCAGCTATGTGAATAACCAGAGGGAGCAAAGCAAAAGGGGTGTGTGCTAAGCCCTGCCCCTCCCTCAGAGACAGACTGCAGGAATGTGCTTAGGTCTGCTGGTGATTCCGGAGCCGAGGGAGGATAAGTGCTCCTCTGCCCAACTTGGATGTGGGGCCCAATCTGGGCTCGGGCTGCCTAGTGTCACACAAAATAATGGTTAGCCCAGGGGCTAGAGAGACTCACCTGGAATATGGGAACCCATGATTTACATCCCCCTCTCTGCTGAGGAAGGAGCGGGGATTGAACATGGTGCTGCTGTCTTCCAGTGGTGTGATTTGTTTTGGGGGTGAGGTAGGGGATAGGAATCTGGAACCCTAGAAGGAGGCAGCAGTGCACATGCACAGAGGCAGAAACTTAGGCACATAGGGAATATGTGCTGCAGAAACTTTGGCACTGAGCAGCCAAGTGAGCTAAGGCACCTACAGAGTTGGGGAGCAGCCAAGCAGTGGTTTTGTGGGTCTCAGCAATGCCTAAAAATGGGACTCGAGCACGTAAGTACCTTTGTGAATACCACCCCATGTCCCTATTCTAGGAGGCCTCCCCCTTCTAACAGAGGCGTTAACTGAGGACCTGAGACATTGCCCAAGGTGACTTCTAGCAGAGTTAGGAACAGAACGTCAGTCTCTCCTGGGGCAGACCCAAGTCACTCCTAGCTAGCCACTGCCTTTTGCAATGAGTGTGCCGAATCTATGTGCTTAGCTATGCTGTCTGTGCAATGGAGCTACCCCTGCCCAGCCACGTGAACGAGGCAAGAGGCTGCAGGAAGAGCCAAGCATTGGGCAAGTCTCGTAAAGCAGAATGTTCAGAGGGTTAGGGTGCTGTGCCAGGGATCAGATATGTGGGGCAGCCCCTGAACCTCTGCTGTAGAGGGTACAGGGAGCAGAGGGACCAGGGAACCATAACAAAATGCGTGGTTGTATTTGTTTTTTATGCTATAAAGCAGCAAAAAATTTTTTTTTTAATTTTGGTGAACCTTCTTTTACAGGATGTTATAATTCAGCAACCACTTGTCCAATTCACATCAAATTTAGTAGATATAGTTTACTTCAGCCCCAGATCTAACATTCCAGTTTTGAAGGTGATAGGATCTTCCTGTAGTTTATAGATGTAGGGTCAAAAATCAGGGTTATAAAGGAAACTATTAGAGTCTTAAACTATGGAGTGACTATCATCACTCCATCATACTGGGATGAAGCAGACTCTGATCCAACCGGGATGTGTGTGAGGCTAAACCTGCTGGGTTTGAGAGGATAAGCACATTGCTGCGTGCAGATTTCCATAAGGACTCTTTAATTTCATATCACCATCTAAATGATAATGGTGGCTTTCTGCTTTACAATTTAACTTGCATCTTCAACCTTGCAACATGCAGGAGAAAAGAGTAAATTCTGCTGCTATTTACAAAACATTATCATAAAATTGCACAAGGACAGATGATACTGAACCGATTCTCTTTTCCTAAATTATTTTTGCTTTATACTGTAATATGAATTCTTTCATTGTAAGGCACCTCCCGGACCAAGGGTCCATTTCACTGACTGTGAGAAGCTGGAAATGTCCCAGTGATCCTGTAACTGCTGGGAAGTTTCTCCTGGGTTCATGAGGTAGGTGGCAGGAAGTTCTCATCCTTTAATTTGTTTTAAAAATGCTTCTTTTTCTACTTGAAAAGGTTCATTAATGACTTTAGATGATCTGTATTTATCCAAGTGACCCAGACCTAGAAATTGCAATGCCTTTTCTCACACTGCATTATAAAAACAGATACAAAATACATTAAGGGTTTTTTCTTCTTGGTGACTTTCTCTTTGTAATTCTACAACCAGACTATTACTCTACAAAAGTTAGTGATTTTTGTGATAATATTTTTCAATGAATTTTGCAAATGCTAGTATTAAGGCCTTTGTCCAGAATATTGGACTGTAATTTGAGATGGTGAACGGTGAAGCTGAGTTTTGCTATGTCTTGTAACATGTCTTTTGACAAAAACAGTAGCAAGCATGCACATTTTGATGCAATTATTAACTAGCACATGTCCTAGGGTTCATATTGTGCTCAATGAATTTGTATTTGTGCTCAATGAATTTGAATTACAGCATGTTGCTCACTTGGCATTTGTTTTTTCTTTTCCTTTCTGATGTCTGGATCACGTTACAATGAAGATGAGGATTTCCTTCCACTCGCACTGTGCCATGGGCAACCCCTCTCTGTCCAGTTACCTCATTTTCTTTTTTACTGTCCGTGTTTCTACACTGGAACCAGGTAGGAAGCCTCTTGTCACAGAGTGTATTCTACTTTCTCTCAACAGTTTTAATACCATTGATCTTTTGTTATTTTGAAACAATTCATAAGAAGAGCATTTTATGTAAATTTGAGAAATAAAATCCTTTTTTTGGAGGGGAGGCAGGGGAAGATACTGATTTTTCTTCCTTTTTACTCCCCTTGGTCTCAGTGTAACCTGTACTCAGTGGACTTTTACATCATGTTTCACCTTAAACTTGTGCCACTCTACCTATCACTATTGAATATTTTCATTAATGACTTGGATAATGAACTGGAGAGTATGCTGATAAAATTTGCAGATGACACCAAGCTGGGAGAGGTTGCTAGACTTCTGGAAGACAGGATGAGAATTCCAAATGACCTGGACAAATTGGAGAATTGGTCCAAAATCAACAGGATGGAATTCAATAAAGACAAGTTCAAAGCTGTTCAATTTGGAAGGAAGGAAAAAGCAAATGCAGTTATAAAATGGCGAATAAATGACTAGGTGGTAACACTACTGAAAAGGATCCAGGGCTTATGGTGGATCACCGATTGAATATGAATAAGGCTACAAGTCAGTCATGGAGGTCATGGATTCCATGATTTTATGGGAAATCCGTGACTTCCTGAAAATTATGATTCAGTTCTGGGCGGCAGAGCTAAGGCTTCAGTCCGGGGAGGTGGCGCTCAGGCTCCAGCCCCATATGGCGGAGCTTGGGCTTCCATGATTTATTGTTTATTGCCCACAGCCTGCCCCTGACTTTTATTAAAAATACCCATACCAAAATCTTTGCCTTAAATACAAGTCAGCAATGTGATGGAGATGCAAAAAAAGCTAACTAAGATTTTAAGTGATTATAAGTAGCAGGCATAGAAATCAAAGTTGGTTACCTAAGTAATAAATATAGAAATGCAGTCTAAATTTTAACTTTAAAAGACTAGGTAAGATTTGAACCAAGTAGTCTCTCACCCTAACAGATGTTACAGGTAGCTTACACTTCCTTAATACACGGATGGACATCCTTCCAGCCTGGGACCAATCTCCATAGTTAAAAATCTTTGTCTTCTAGACGATCTTCCAAGTGTTGAGATGGAGGTGACGGGGAGAGAGGCCAAGAGATGATGTCACGATCTCTCTTTTATGCTTTCTTCTAGCTGCTAGAAAGATCCTTGCTGTGACGTGGGCTAGGCTGCCCCATTGCATATGTGCCTTCTCCAAGAAGACACAAGAACAAATGGATATAAACTGGCCATCAGGAAGTTTAGACTTGAAGCTTATGGAGGGGATTGATTGGTACTGAGCTTAAATAATTCCTCTCTCTCCCTGGTATTTATCCCTCTGATATATTTATTGAGAGCAATCATATCTCCCCTCAGCCTTCTTTTGGTTAGGCTAAACAAGCCAAGCTCTTTGAGTCTCCTTTCATAATACAGGTTTTCCATTCCTCGGATCATCCTAGTAGCCCTTTTCTGTACCTGTTCCAGTTTGAATTCATCCTTCTTAAACATGGGAGACCAGAACTGCATACAGTATTCCAGATGAGGTCTCACCAGTGCCTTCTATAACGGTACTAAAACCACCTTATCTCTACTGGAAATACCTTGCCTGATGCATCCCAAGACCGCATTAGCCTTTTTCACAGCCATATCACATTGGTGGCTCATAGTCATCCTGTGATCAACCAATATTCCGAGGTCCTTCTTCTCCTCTGTTTCTTCCAAGTGATGCGTCCCCAGTTTATTAATTCTTGTTATTAATCCCTAAATGCATGACCTTGCACGTTTCACTATTAAATGTCATCCTATTACCATTACTTCAGTTTACAAGGTTATCCAGATCTTCCTGTATGATATCCCAGTCCCTCTCTGTATTGGCAATGCCTCCCAGCTTCGAGTCATCTGCAAAGTGTATTAGCACATTCCCACTTTTTGTGCCAAGGTCAGTAATAAAAAGAGTAAATAAGATTGGTCCCAAAACTGATCCCTGAAGAACTCCACTAGTAACCTCCTTCCAGCCTGACAGTTCACCTTTCAGTATGACCAGTTGTAGTCTCCCCTTTAACCAGTCCCTTATCCACCTTTCAATTTTCATATTGATCCCCATCTTTTCCAATTTAGCTAATAATTCTCCATGTGGAACCATATCAAATGCCTTACTGAAATCCAGGTAAATTAGATCCACTGCATTTCCTTTGTCTAAAAAATTTGTTACCTTCTCAAAGAAGGAGATCAGGTTGGTTTGGCATGATCTACCTTTTGTAAAACCATGTTGTATTTTGTCCCAGTTACCATTGACCTCAATGTCCTTAATTACTTTCTCCTTCAAATTTTTTTCCAAGACCTTGCATACTATAGATATCAAACTAACAGGCCTGTAGTTACCCAGACCACCATTTTTTGCCCTTTCTTAAAAATAGGAACTATGTTAGCAATTCTCCAGTCATACGATACAACCCCTGAGTTTACAGATTCATTAAAAATTCTTGCTAATGGGCATTCAATTTCATGTGCCAGTTCCTTTAATATTCTTGGATGAAGATTATCCGGGCCCCCCGATTTAGTCCCGTTAAGCTGTTCAAGTTTGGCTTCTATCTCGGATGTGGTAATATCTACCTCCATATCCTCATTCCCATTTGTCATCCTACCATTGTCCCTAAGCTCCTCATTAGCCTCATTAAAGACTGAGGCAAAGTATTTGTTTAGATATTGGGCCATGCCTAAATTATCCTTAACCTTCACTCCATCCTCAGTGTTTAGCAGTCCCACTTCTTCTTTCTTTGTTTTCTTCTTATTTATATGGCTATAGAACCTTTTACTATTGGTTTTAATTCCCTTTGCAAGGTCCAACTCTACATGGCTTTTGGCCTTTCTCACTTTATCCCTACATGGTCTGACCTCAATAAGGTAGCTTTCCTTGCTGATCCCTCCCATCATCCATTCCTTGTAGGCTTTCTGCTTTTTCTTAATCAACTCTCTGAGATGCTTGCTCATCCAGCTTGGTCTACAACTCCTGCCTATGAGTTTTTTCCCCTTTCTTGGGATGCAGGCTTCTGATAGTTTCTGCAAACTTGACTTGAAGTAATTCCAGGCCTCCTCCGCCTTTAGATCCACAAGTTCTTCAGTCCAATCCACTTCCCTAACTAATTTCCTTATTTTTTTAAAGTTAGCCCTTTTGAAATCAAAAACCCTAGTCACAGATCTATTTTTGTTTATTTTTCCATTTAGTTTGAACTGAATTAGCTCATGATTGCTCGAACCAAGGTTGTCCCTTACAACCATTTCTTCTATGAGGTCCTCACTACTCACCAAAACCAAATCTAAAATGGCATCCCCTCTTGTTGGTTCAGCAACTACTTGGTGAAGGAGTCCATCAGCTATCGCATCCAGGAAAATCTGAGCCCTATTATTATTACTAGCACTTGTCCTCCAGTCTATATCTGGGAAGTTAAAGTCTCCCATGATCACACAATTCCCATTAGTATTTACTTCATTGAAAACATTAAAGAGGTCTCTATCCTTATCCAAATCGGATCCTGGCGGTCTATAGCACACCCCAAGCACTATCCCAGGGGAGGCTCTAGTAGCTTTCTTCCCCAGTGTGATTTTTGCCCAGACAGACTCTGTCTTATCCATTCCGTAACTTCTTATTTCTTTACAGTCTACCTCATCATTGATATACAATGCTACTCCACCACCTTTGCCTTTATTTGTGTCCTTCCTAAACAGCACATACCCTACAATACCTATACTCCAGTCATGACTACTATTCCACCATTTCTGTTATCCCTATAATATCTGGTTTCACTTCCTGCACCAATAGCTCTAGTTCCTCCATTTTGTTACCTAGGCTCCTCGCATTAGTGTACAAACATCTTAATTTTTGCTGTTTGGCTTCTCTCACATTCTTTACCCAATTAGGCACAGACATTCTACCACCAGTATCACCTATTAGACTGGCATCTACACTACCCTTCCTCCTTATGTCCATTCTCCTATCCATAGCAGTATCCTTTCTTACTTCGTTTTCTTCCCTCTCAATGTTAAAATCCAGCGTGGAGATTACCTGGACATCTCCCAACCATCTCCCCCAAATTCCTAGTTTAAAGCTCTCTTAATCAGTTGTGCCAGCTTCCATCCTAGAAGTCTATTTCCCTCCCTACTCAGGTGAAATCCATCCCGAGAGAACAGTCCTCTGTCCATGAATGCTTCCCAGTGGCCATACATCCCAAAGCTCTCCTTATAGCACCACTGCCTGAGCCATCTGTTGATCATCATAATCTTGTCACATCTTTGTTGCCCTTCTCTAGGAACAGGAAGAATCCCACTGAAGATCACTTGAGCCTCAATTTCCTTAAGCGTCTTCCCCAGTCTGGCATAGTCTCCCTTGATACGTTCCAGCAAGAATCTAGCCATATCATTTGTTCCCACATAAAGGACAGTTAGTGGATTCTTTCCTGCTCCTGTTAGGACCCTCTTCATCCCATATCTTAGCACCCGGCAAACAGCACACCCTTCTGTTCTCTGGATCAGGTCTGGTTAGAGGCCTGTCTATTCTTCTCAGTAAGGAGTCCCCAGTCATGTAGACCTGCCTTTTCCTGATGATGGTGCGATTCTCCGGTCTATCCCCTGTTCCCTCTGGCTGCAAGTCCTCTCGATTCCTATTGTCCCTTGCAATCCTCTGCAACCCATCCCGTATCCTCCTGGAGTTCATATTTGGTGGTGTTATCTCCATTGACTCTTACCCTCTTCCTATAGGAATAGCTGCTCTTCTCTTCTTCCTTGCCCTTCCACCTTCCGTGACCACCTGCTGTGCCCCTTCTTCATTTTCCAACTCGGCAAACCTGTTCCTGAGCTCTATTTCTCCTTCATTAGCCCATCTTTTCCTCTGCCTGGTTCTCTTGGTCTGTTAGTCTCTTATGCTTCCACTGTCTACTTTCCTCACCCAGCAGTCGCCCCTAAGAGTTCTTTGGTCCTGCTTCCATCTGCAAGTCTGAGCTTTTCCCTTCAGCCTCCTCATGTCTTTGCTCCATCATCCGCTCGAACCCCCTTCTGAACTCAGCCGGAGTTTCCACCTGCTTCTCCGGTCCTCGGATCTTTTCTTCCATCAGCTCTATCAGGCGGCACTTCATGCAGACGATACTCTTTTCAGGAACCCCCTTCCAGGATCATGTACATACCGCAGCTTCCACATCCAGTCGTCTTCATTATGTCTTCCACTGCTTGGGTCACTACCACTACTGCCTCTGTATCTGTCATAGCCTTCTCACCTACATCCTGTTAGTCTGGGAAACACAAACCAAATCAAAACACCACCACCCACAGCAAAACAAACCCTCAATGAGCACCAAAACACTGCCAGACCACCACACACTCCTGTCACTAGCCTGTCTGTTCCTCTCCCTGGCTCTCTTAGTCTTCCCCCCAAACTCCCATTGTAAACTCCCGCTCAGACTCCCCTGTTTGCTGGATCTTGTGCTGCTGAATGTAACTGACACATGCTGTAAATTCATTTTGTGTGATGTGCTACCAAGTAGAGAATGTCAAAAGTGGAAGGGGTAAAGAAGGATTTTGTACTATTTTTTCTTGTTTTTCAAATACCTATATTTGAAAGGATACATAGCAAGTTACAAATATAAAACAAAATACTTTTTTTTTTCAGTTTAGCTTATGTCACTGGGGAAGGGGTTTAAGGCAATCTGAAAAAGGTCACTATTATACCAGAATAAGGATGTCCACATAGGAGTTATACCAGTATAATTACACCTGCATAACTAGTAAAACTTTCCCATGTACACCAGGCCTTAAGCTCCACAGCATGTCACAGACAGCCTCTCCTTTCAGGTGTTCTGTATCATCCTTCTCTCTAGAGGCCACCTGCCTTGGTTCCAGTCTAGCAAACAGTCTGCCTCCGATGAAGTGAGCTGTAGCTCACGAAAGCTTATGCTCAAATAAATTTGTTAGTCTCTAAGGTGCCACAAGTACTCCTTTTCTTTTGGCGAATACAGACTAACACGGCTGCTACTCTGAAACCAGTCTTCCACAGGTTAATTGTTCTGGTTGCAGACATTAACCAGCTCACAAAATTTAGAAACAGAGGTCACCCATTTTTTAATCCTCTCTGGATTGGTATTGACTAGGAAAAGTGGCTGTGAGTTTAGCTCAACGGTCAGCTAATGTGCTAGCTAAGCCTGTCCTAACTTGACCTGTTTTCCAGTGCAGATACACTGAGACACCATTAGCTCACTTTTAGTTGGTCAAGTTGCAGCCTAGGCAATTGTGAGAGATCAGCATTTATTACCTATGAAAACAATCCAGCTCCCCTCTGGTCTAATTTTCTGTTTGTCTTGGTTCCTTTAATAGTGAATTTCAAGGTGATTGGACCTGATCATCCCATCATGGCCTCTGCAGGTGAAGATGCCCTTTTACCCTGTTACCTCTCCCCCAGCATGAGTGCTCAGAAGATGGAGGTGCGCTGGTACCAATTCACGTCATCTGAACCTGTCCATCTGTATCAGGATGGAAAAGATCAGCCTGAGCAGCAAATACCAAATTATCGGGGCAGAACAGAGCTTCTGAAGGATGGTATTGTGGATGGAAGCGTTGTCCTGCATATACGCAACATCACCCCCTTTGACCATGGGCAGTTTATCTGTTCCTTCCAATCACACAGCTTTTATGCAGAAGCCGTTCTGGAACTGAAGGTGTCAGGTCAGTAACTTGGGCTGCTAATTTGAATTCTCAGCAGAATAATAATTTATTTTGAGGTGGAACTAGATGTGTCTTATTTTCATGCCAGTATCCAGAATTCCCTTCTATCTGCCAGTTATTTCCCATCAGTTGTTCAGGAGCCTATGCCCTGGGCATAAGCTGACAGATTTCAACGTGTCTCTCTCCACACTCTGGATGTTTTTTTCACAACTTTGTTGTGCAAGAACTGTGAGAAAGTCTATAAGTACCTACACGGGAACAAATATTTGATAATGGCTCTTCAGTCTAGTAGAGAAAGGTGTAACACAAGCTAATGGCAGGAAGTTGAAGCTAGAGAAATTCAGATTGAAAATAAGGCATACTTCTTTTAATTGTGAGAGTAATTAATTAGTGGTTCTCGAACTGTGGTCCGTGGACCACCAGTGCTCCGCGAGCTCCATTCAGGGGGTCCGCGGATAGTTCTCTCTAAGGTGCGCGCCTGGGCGGCCGCACATGAGAGAATGAAGGGCCACTCACCTAATTAGTGAAGCTGCGCGGGCGTGGCTCCACTAATTAGGTGCCTGGACCCTGGAGAAGATGTGCATGTAAGGTGAGGTGGTGGCCTTGGGGGGACTAGGGGTTAGGTGGGAGAGGGCAGTGGGGTGAGAAGAGGGGGTGGGGGGAATTTGGGACGTGCAGGGCTGCAGCGGCCAGAGAAAGAGGCAACTTTCCCCAGCTCCAAGGCTGTGGCTGCTGGGGAGAGAAGGCTCTCCTTCCCAGCCCCAGCTCTGTGGCTGCTGTGGCGGGGGAGAGACCCCTCTCCTTCCCAGCCCCAGCTTGGGGGCTGCCACGGCAGGGGAGAGAGGTACATCCATCGCATTAGAAAGGTAAGAATACTTATATTAAAATATGAGTTGTGTGCTTTTATTTGTAGAACAAAAAAACGTTAATTATTATTAAGGTGGTTTTTTATATATCGCTGTTATCCAAAGCGCTTTACAATAGTCAGTTAATGGTACAAACAACATTTGGAAAGATCATTATGTGGTCCACTGAGACCCTCAGCAATTTTCAAGTGGTCCGTGAAAAAAAAAGTTTGAGAACCACTGATCTATTGGAACAACTTACCAAGGGTTGTGGTGGCATCTCCTTCACTGGCAATTTTAAAATCAAGATTGGCTGTTTTTCGAAAAGGTCTGCTGTCAGAATCACAATGGTCGCTTCTGGCCTTGGAATCTATGAATGAACCTATGAAAGCCTTTTAAAGACTATTAGACCTTTAATTTTGGAGAAAACAGCAAGAGGAGATAAAAAGGTGAAGAAAAATACTTTAAAATCAGCTCTTGTTTCTTGCCACACAACTTCTAAGAGTGTGTGCAGGAGAAAGAGAAACATCCTTTTCTGATGGCTTGAAGTGTCCATCCTAGAAAGGGCTGGAAGCTACAGAGAGAGCAGTATCTACATCAGCAGGACCAGATCTTTTATTTCTTATTTTGATTATGTTTCTTTGTCTTTGACTTACACTGACTGAGATCCAAATCCACTTTGGGACTCTCGTGTGAAGTGAGGGGATTCCCCTGGAAAAATACTCAGTGCTCAGAGCGGGGATAGCTCCAGGTTATTACAACAAAGGCAATGCAGTCAATTGCCTCCCTGCCATGCTTTGTGGGGATATTCTGTGAATACTTGAGAGTCCCCAACCCAACTCCCCACAGTGTGCAAACAAGGCCTAGTGGAGCACAGTGTGATATTGCTAGATACAGTATTGATTTCTGGGAGCTGCAATCTTTGAGGTTAGAAAACTAGCAGGAAGGGGAAGTGCATATGTATGTGCTGAGGCCAGCGGCTGCTGCAGCAGCTGCTTCTGGAGCTGCTTGATGTTGGATTTCACTCTTTTGGTCTCAGCCTCCACTGCTCAACAAATTGGTGACTAGGATGGCTCTCCTGCCCCTGAATCCACCTGCACCCTTTCTTCAAAGCCTAGGAGAGCTTCCAGTTGCCTTTAATGCTTGGATAAGAGTATCTGAGTACTATGTCCTTGCAATTAATGACAGAGAACTCTCTGAAGCAAGAAAATGTGCTTTGCTTATTTAGTGCCTTGGAGCAGAAGGGCAGCGTATATTTTACACTCTTCCCTTCTGAATAATAAATATGATACAGCACTTACTGCATTAATTTTTGTGTGTGTGTCTAAAGTGAATGTGGTAGCTGCATGCTATAAATTCCACGAGCGTGGAAACCAGGGGAATTGACAGATCTGTATATTGCTGCTTTAAGAGAACTGATTGTCACATGTGATTTTGGCAACAGGGCAGATGAAATTATTCGAGATCGGCTCATAGAGAAAACAGCTGTGCCTCGTATTAGAGAGCACCTGTCAAGGTTCCTTCCCCACTCTGAACTCTAGGGTACAGATGTGGGGACCTGCATGAAAACCTCCTAAGCTTACTTTTACCAGCTTAGGTTAAAACTTCCCCAAGTACAAACTATTTTACCCTTTGTCCCTGGACTTCCACTGCCACCACCAAACTTTATCTGGGTTCCTGAAAAAATATAGTTTGGACACGTCTTTCCCCCCCAAATCCTCCCAACCCTTGCACCCCACTTTCTGGGGAAGGTTTGGTAAAAATCCTCACCAATTTGCATAGGTGACCACAGACCCAAACCCTTGGATCTTAGAACAATGAAAAAGCATTCAGTTTTCTTACAAGAAGACTTTTAATAGAAGTAAAAAGGAATCACCTCTGTAAAATCAGGATGGCAAATACCTTACAGGGTAATTAGATTCAAAACATAGAGAATCCCTCTAGGCAAAACCTTAAGTTACAAAAAAGACACACAGACAGGAATATTCATTCTATTCAGCACAGCTATTTTCTCAGCCATTTAAAGAAATCATAATCTAACACATACCTAGCTAGATTACTTACTAAGTTCTAAGACTCCATTCCTGTTCTGTCTCCGGCAAAAGCATCACACAGATAGACACAGACCCTTTGTTTTTCTCCCTCCTCCCAGCTTTCGAAAGTATCTTGTCTCCTCACTGGTCATTTTGGTCAGGTGCCAGCGAGGTTACCTTTAGCTTCTTAACCCTTTACAGGTGAGAGGATTTTTCCTCTGGCCAGGAGGGATTTTAAAGGGGTTTACCCTTCCCTTTATAGTTATAACAGCACCTACTGCTTGAATTGGAATTGACATTACAGAAAGCCATAACTATTGTTAATCCCATCGAGCCAGAGATGGTGGAGGTGAAAATAATGAGCTCAGGTACAGCGGGTCCGATGCAAACCAGGGAACCACTGCATCTGGACTACAACAAGGCAGTTTAAAAATGACAATGGCAATGTAAATAAGAAGTAACATGCCCAATGATTTCAAAACATACAAGGAAAAGAATGTCACCACTCTGAATGTACACACCACACTTCAGACTACACAGGAAGGCTTGCAGAGGGAGCTCAGTGGCCTTCAAAAAGAGCGGACATTTCTCTAAGGGATGCTGAAGCAACCCAGCCTAATCAACAGGTATGTGCAGTTTCCATGCCTGAAGTTACTGCACTGAGCGTGGATGGAAGCAGCACCGCATACATTGTGGATAAAATAACATGTGCTGTCCATGTCTCTGCTGCAGCAGGAGTGAAGCCCCAGGTGGTGGAATGAATGTTGAACACGGGCTCAGCAGTTTCTATACTACCTGAATTGATTTGCCTGCAATACTTTGGACATGTGTCAGTTGCTGCGCTGAGCTTACGCCTGGCATGCTACTTGATGAACCGCATCCCTGTGCTTGGTTGACTACCTGCAACCGAGACTTTTGATACATAACGCATACCGGCAGAATTCTGTCTTATGCCTGGGGTACTGCTATCCTAAACAGCGATTTATTTCCCTCACCAAACATGTAGGCAGTCAATGGGCACATTGCTTTTGCCCCACCTGGCACCACTATAGCACAAACTCTGGTCTCTGCTCTTAAGGAGGATGGTACAGAGGAGCCCCGTGGCTGTGCATTTGGATTTGCTCACAAAACTAAATTTTGACCTCAAGTGACAGCTGTAGGACAGAATTTACCTCTCTACCGTTCTCAGTCAGGGATGCTGTAGCAGAAGAGGTTAAAAAATCAGTATAGAATGGTGTTATTGAAGAGATTGCATCATCTGAATGGGTCTCACCAATAGTGGTGACAAAAAGAAAGACTGGAGGTATTTGTCTTAGCATAGACTTAAGGGAGCCTAATAAAGCCATTATGATTGACAGCTATCCACTCACACATAGAAGCAGCATTGGTGGATCTTTGTGGCACAAAGATATTTTCTACTCTCGATCTACAGAATGCATATCACCAAGTTATACTACAGGAGGACAGAGAGATCTCCCAGCATTTATTATGCTTGAAGATCTGTTCCATTTGAAACGTGCACCATACGGACTTGTATTGGCACCCAGCACTTTCCAAAGATGTCAGTGATTCTGAAGAATCAGCCTGGAGTCCAGTATTATTTGGATGAAATTATTGTGTTTGAGAAGACTTGTGGGGAACATGAAAAACATTTCCATGCAGTACTACACCACATCAAAACAGCAGGGCTGAAACTGAATTTGGCCAAATGCCAATTCTGACAAACAGAGTTGTTATTTCTGGGGCACATAATTTTGGAAACTGGACTGAAACCTGACCTGGACCATGTCATGGTGGTTATAAAAGCACCACCTCCAAGACACATAAATCTTACATGCTTTCTTAGCTTTTACGTCATGGTATGCCAAGTTTATTCTGAACAACACTTCAGTCATCATTACAGACATACGCCAGGGAATCTCAAGCTTGGCCTGGATGACTGTTGCATGAGTTGTTTTGAAACAGTGAAAGATTTGATTGAAAATAGTCCAGCACTTGCATAGTTTGACCCTGCCTCAGACTATGGACTGGGAGCAACACTTACTCAAATCCATGATGACAACATGGAGGAGACTGTTGCATTTGAACACTTACAGAAGCTGATAGGAAGTATTCATCTGTT